AGGACATGGTAGAAGACAAAGCCAGGAAAGTCTATAGAGACTAAAGCAAACTGAGCTTTTTTTATGGGCCAACATAAAGATCTTAAACATTACTGAAATCAGCCCTGACTGGTGTGGCTCAATGGACTGAGCACTGGCCTGCAAACCAAAAGGTCACAGGTTTGATTCCCAGTCAGGGCACATGCCTGGGATGCATGCCAGGTCCCCAGTAGGGGGCACATTCATTAGAGGCAACCGATGAGTGTATCTCTCACACATCAGTGTTTCTCTCCCTCTCCTTCTCCCTCCCGTCCCCTCTCTCTAAAAATAAATTAATTAAATTAAAAATAGATAAGTAAACATTACTGACATCACTGTGACAGAAGGCACACGAGGAAAAGCAGGTCTGAAGACAACAGCTGTGTACGTGATTGTCCAACCACTCAGCTGTATACCTGCAACCACATACAGAAGAAAATTGAAAGGCAAAAGAAAAAGATGGGGAGTTTGGTTTGGGGCAGGTTCAAATATGAGATGCTCGTGGGGATATTTATCATTTTTAAATGTTTTTAATGCTTGGTTGTGGCTTTTAAATATGCATAAGTAAGTTTTAACATCAGCAGGAGCTGCCCCGAGCCACAGAAATAGCAAGAATTGGTTTTGTACCCTCACCCTTACCATATGGTATTTTTTTTAATGGCTATTCATGAATTTAGCTACATGAAAATTTCAGGCCTAGTAGAAATCTCTCATTTACCAGGAGGGAAACCTGGGAAACCAAGTGGAATAAGACTTAAGTGCAGAGGTAGTAGCATCATTAGGGCCACGAGAGCCAAAGAATTGGGGGGCCCAGAGAAAAAAGGATAGAACGAGTGTTTGTTTAGTAGAGGATGCAAGGCATGGGTAGGTGCCTCACTGTTTTTCTTGCATCTTCACATGCAGATGGCAGAAAATGAGCTCCATGTCTTTGCTTTTCAAACGGACACCTCCCAAGCCCTTTGAAGTGGAGAGTGATTTTAAGTTTTTCAAGTCTCTTTCTTCCTCCAAGGTAACTTTTCAAAGCACCAACACACAAAAACACTTTACTTTTATTTTCCTGAATTTAGATATGTACAGTGTATTCGTTTTCGGTGGCTGCTGTTGCAAATTCCCACACACTAAGTGGTCTGAACAGCATGAATGAATTATTTCACTCTTCTGTGGGTCAAAAGTCTGACCTGGGTCCCCCTGGACTAAAATTCAGACATTGCCAGGGCTGTGTTCCTTTTCTGGAGACTCTAGGAGAGACCATCACATTTCTTAGTGTGAGGCCCCCTTCCTTCATCTTCAAAGCCATAAATGATGCATCTCTCTGACCAGCCTTCTGGGGTCCCCTGACTCAGGAAAGGTTCTCCGCTTTCATGGAATCCTGTGATGAGACTGGCCCCCCCTGGAGAATCCATCTCGAAGTTCTTAACCTTAATCACATCTGCAAAGTCCCTTTTGCCAGATGAAGCAATATATTCCCAAGTTGGGGGTGGGGAAGAGAGGGCACAGACATCATTGGTTGCCATTATTCTGCTCACCGAAGGTAAAAAGAAATATTTTTTAAAGTCATTTAGCGGAAACAAATAAATTTGGGGAAATCTCTAGAAAGGGTTTAAAGTCCTTAAAACAATTAAATGCCCCTAAAGATCACAAGACTTATCCTCTTCTTACCACACTTGCATTTTCTCAATTGTTTGGTACAATAACGAAGGTTTAATGCCAATGTTGAGTTAAAATACCTTCCACTTAGAAATCTCTGATTTTTACCAGCAATCTTGTTTGCCCATTCCTTTTCATGATCAGTTATGTATTATTTCTTTACTCAGTTTCCTGCTTCATCTCTGACATATTACTGGTAATAATACAATGATAGTAAGTCTTACATTTAAGTAGTGCCTTAAGTAGGGAATATTGCTTCATCTGGCAAAGGGACTTTGCAGATGTGATTGAGGTTAAGAACTTCGAGATGGATTCTCCGGGGGGTGCCAAGACTCATCACAGGATTCCATGAAAGCAGAGAACTTTTCCTGAGTCGGGGGACCCCAGAAGGCTGTCTTACTATACACATTATCTTATTTGATCCTGACAGATACCGAACAGGACAAAAACTTGCCTAAGGTCATGAAACTAGTAAGGGACAGAGTCAGAATCTGAACCCAGGGAATTGGCCACTTACGGAACGTTCCCTTTCCCTGAACAGTCACTCCTGTTTTGCAGAATCGAAAACATAACTTGGAAGGTTTCATGGCTGAAAACAAAGAGGCCGGGATTGTTTTTGGTTCTCTGCCTATATACAGGGTGAGTCGACCATTTCCAGGACTAGCGTGGTTACAGAACAGTAGGGAACTTGACGCCTCAGTCCCATTCCCAGCCCTGGGCTACGAGCCAGGTGGGAGAAAACCGCAGAACCGAGCTCACCGATGCTTCCATAAACACGCATGCGCGACTGGACCTCCCTCCCCACCGGCCCGGAGAAGTCTTCCTTCGTCCCTCTTGCTGTCGGCCTCTATCACTTGCCGCTGGCATTCCGCATGAACAGCACTGCGGGAAACTGTTTTGAACTTCACCCTGGCTCTTCCTTACCTACAGGACAAAATCCGAATGCTTTTCACCTGGCCTACGAACCTTTCATGGCCTTGCCTCTCTGCCTGAACTGTGTGATGAATAGTGGGCAACTGTGAAAGGGGCGGGGTGTGTTTTAAGTCAGTCGATGCTTCTCACTCCGTATGCCCCGCCCCGGCCTTCACAGTACAGAAGCAGCCACTCGAGTATGTCTTATTCTTTGTTTATCGCTAACAGGTGCAGAGCCCCACTAGTCTAAGATTCCTTCCACTCATCGGCTCAGAGGCGCTAAAGGAGGCTCCGGATGGATTTCCAGGAAAGAAAAAGGGAGGTCATGTTCCACATGAAAGAGTGAGTTAGTAGTATTTAGAATTCCACGGTATACCCCACTCATGTTTGGGTTGTTACTGCCTGCACTGAAAGGGGTAACAGATGACAAACGCGACGACAGCAACAACAAAAAGCTGCTTTATTTCATTAATATACAAAATGTGACCATAATTTTGTTCATTTAAGCCCTTAATGAGAATATGAATGAATCCTGTTCATTATTCTACAATTATTTGAATAAGAACTTTTGGCGACAGAAGAGTATTTTGATAAACATACTATCATTTAATTTGTTAAGTAACCGATGAAACACAGTGGTATAAATTATCCAAAACTAACAGTTAAGCAAAAGAGTATTTGTTTTGGGTTTTATCATTCATATATTTTTATGCCTCATATTTATGTTTTCTTACTTCATCTGGTATTAAATTTTCTACTTAGAAAACGTAAAGTATATCATATGTTACTGTGCAAAAGAAACAACAGACCCAAAATGGAGTCACTTAGGCTAAGCTCCACCGAGACTCACTACCTAACCTAACTGCAGTCACTGCCTTTCCCAGGACTGGAATTTTAAACTGATCAGTTTGGGATTTTCTGATCAACACTAGTGAGAAAACCCCTTGCCTTCCCCTAAAGGGAAGTGACTTGGCCTGAAATAATTCAATTTTTTAAGCTCCTTGCCCCACCCTCCTCCTGCCTATAAAAACCTCCCTTTTCTACCGCTCCTCAGAGCACCTTTCTGTTTACTAGAGGGGATGCTGCCTGATTCATGGACCACTTAGTACAGTCAGTTACATCCTCTGATTTCCTCAGTTGAGTATTCTTATTTAAAAGTACAAACTAAGGGACAGGGGAAAAAAGTGGCCAAATATATCTTAATTACCAGTGGGAAAGCAAAAATAGAGTTAAGAATTATTCATGGTTAATCTACATAATGAATAATGGTTACTCAGCCAGAAACTGACTCTATGATGATGAATTTATCAGAGATCATTAAATACGACAAATTGTCCAGACATTAAGGAATTTTTAACATGCCTGTTATGTTGATAGATGCTTTGTTTTCTCTTAATTGCTCTGATAGGTCATTAATCACACAGAAACAATCAAAGGGATGAAATGTCTCCATTTACTTACAAAAAAGGAGCCAGAAAAATCATGATTAAAAATTCCCTTTGTAGCCCTGGCTGGCGTAGCTCAGTGGATTGAGCGCGGGCTGCGAACCAAAGCATCGCAGGTTCGATTCCCAGCCAGGGCACATGCCTGGGTTGCAGGCCATCACCCCCAGCAACTGCACATTGATGTTTCCCTCTCTCTCTCCCTCCCTTACCTCTCTAAAAACAAATAAATAAATCTAAAAAAATAAATAAAATAAAAATTCCTGGTTTCATGAAGAAAAGAGTTAAGGGTAGCCACAGGGCTAAAATGAGTTTCCAAAATAAAATCAGGTCCCTCTCAGGGCAAGATGGCAGAGTAAGTCTGGAGACTGGCATAGACTGACGCACCACTACCTGTCTATGCAGACTGTGTGCAGAAACCCAAACAGCTGTGAGTTGGGACATAGTGGATGAAGCCAAATCCATAAATACACATCAAAGGCCTAATTTTGTAAAGAGCACTCCCAGGAGGGCTGACACAAAATTGCCTCAGAAAGTCAAGTGTTCAGATTTCAGTTTTGTGAAACGAACGTTTACGGAATCCCTGAAAATGTCACTGTGCGCTCTGCACTGTGCGGGGCACCGAGAAACTGGCCACAGACCCTGCGCCCATGGGAGCGTTGTAGGGAGAAACTTCTCTGAGCCGAGTTCAAAAGCAGGCATCCGTTCTCTTGGACTTATTCCTTTTTATTTATTAAGAGGATAGTTAAGTAAGTCAATCTACTTTCTTTCTAGGAGGACTAAATTTTGGTAAAAATTAGCAGTGCCACTTGACTCTAGAAATTGGTGTTTGTCTTGTAAGGCCAACTAATCGCTGATACATCCTTTATTTCACAGATGCAACGGAGGAAAAGTCTGAAAAGAAATCTCGTCCCGCAAATAAATCTGGCTCCCGCCTTCTTCCCAGGCATCTCCAAATAAGAGAGGAAAAATCAGAACTGGCTGCCATGGCCTGAGCTGCATGTGAAACGGCAAGGCCTCAATAATACGCTGGTCTTTATTTCAGGGTGCAAGCGAGGGTCCACCAGACACTGGCCCCCTCCCAGTAACCTCAGGCCAGCTACTCGATGGTTGCTCGGGGAGTTCAGGAGGTCTCAGCTCTGAACACCAGGCAAGCAGCAAGCAGCCACATGGCCAACTTCTCCCATACGTTGTAATCTACTGAAGGAATAGGCGATGCTTCTTGTCTACTGTCAGCAAAATAACAAAGGAAACAAAGAAAATCAATAGTATCAGTGGATCTAAACAATATGGTCATCAACAAATAGCTTCCCCCTTCCCCACTGTTCACCCTAATTCATAACCAGAATTATCAAAATGTAAGCATTAAGAGGCAAATTACTTGTATGTCATGCTATGTAGTATACAAAAGAATTATTATTAAAAAGAAAAATGTGCCAGTCAAGCTTCTAGCTATTTATCTTCTTTATTTAGAGAAGTGACAAATGGAAGGAAATGTTCAGAGTTTCTTAGATAAAGTCAGAAGTTACTTACATTTAATCTAGAAGTAACTCCACATAAATAGAACTAGAATGATTATCTGAACTTCCTAGGGTCTATTGCTTACTCATGCTTTTATTCATTGATTTTGTTGTTTTGGCCAAATAATTTATGTTGCCAATGGGAACTCCTGTAAAAAATAAAAGCATCTAAGTTTGATCAATAATAAATGAGATTTTAAATAAGTCAAAGGCATGAGGAAAATACCAGAACCAAAGCCTGCTGACAGGCTGACCTAGGCCTTTCTGGGAAATGACTCAGAGCTCTGAGTGATGAAAACATTCCTGTGTCAAAAAGTAAGTCTACTTTCACCAAAGCACCAGGCCACTTGGCTAAAACAAACAAATAAACAAACAAACAAAAACTGTGGTCCCTGAATTTAATTCTGCCTTTCCATTCTGGGAAGGATTCTGTAGTTCTTAAAATTCCCAACAACTTCAGAGAACTAAAGAAATTTTTATTCATAGGAACTTTATTCACACACTTCTGTTTATTTCTAGGCAGGTAGTAATATGTAATGTGATTTCCCCTACTAATTTTCTTTTAACTTTTTTCTTCAAGTATTTTAACTATACAAGAAACTAAAGTCCCAAAAGAAAATAGTGAACATTAAGGTTTTTTAAACTTTTTAAAAGTAATTTGTATAATTCACTCAAGTGAAAGAAGAGACTTTAGAAAAACACAGCATAGTCATGGAAAATCAGCACTATCAATACCTAAGTAAGCCATAGATTTTTTTTAATTGAGGTATAATTGACATATAAAATTATGTTACTTTCAGGTATAAAACATAATGATTTGATATTAATATATACCAAGAAATGATCACCACTGGAAGTCTAGTTACCATCCATTACCATATAATGACAAATTTTTTTCTTGTGATGAAGACTTCGTAGATCTACTTGCTGAGCGACTTTCAGATACACGATATGGTGCTATTAGCTCCAGTCACCTTGCTGTACGTTACATCTGTGACTAACAGATGTTCTAAATGAAATTTGTACCTTTTGACCTCCTTTACCCATGTCACCCCAGAAGATTCTTTTAAAAAAAAAATTCTAAAAGTGAAAACAAAATGTCCAAGGAGTTTATGAAAATGATTCTCTTTCCTCCCTTTTAATCTCAGTTGTAACAGAAGGTAATTTCACCCCTAGGGATGGATTTCCTGAAACAAGATGATGTTAAATACCTTCCCGTGTAGGCAACCCCTGTAATATGGCGTCTGAGATTCTCAATTATCTCTCACTCCCCATTTTGACTGAGCAACTCTCTCAAACTTCTTTTAACAGAAATATGCAATTTCTTGATACGTAAAGATTTAAAATTTTCTTCAGTATTTTTGTACATTATACAACAAGAGATTTTATATCAGTCAGCATACTGGTAAGAATGGCAGTATAACTAATTATGTAATTATAATTTGTTAGGATTCGTAAAACATAGAAAATTTTGCCTTTTCTGTCATTTGTCAATTGACAGGCTGATGAAAGAAACCATTTAAGAAAAAGCCTAGACTTGACAAATTAAGAATATTTTATTTATTTATTTTTTTAAAAGATTTTATTTATTTATTTTTAGAGAGGGAAGGGAAAGAGATAGAGAGAGAGAAACATCAATGTGCGGTTGCTGGGGATCATGGCCTGCAACCCAGGCATGTGCCCTGACTGGGAACTGAACCTGCGACACTTTGGCTCACAGCCCGCACTCAATCCACTGAGCTACGCCAGCCAGGACTAAGAATATTTTATTCCATCATGTTTGGTGTGGTATAAAAATGTTTACTAAAATAGAGAGCACGGACTTCTGTCTCAGGTAACAGTAGTCTAGGTAAATCGGACCAGTCGCTCCCACTGAGGACAACTTGCACAGACAGACAACGCACAGAACACATCCCTATGAAGGCATCTGCACACAAACAAGATGGTGAACCAAGGACGTGCCGCATTCTGGGGGAGGCATGAGGCTCAAGTAGGTGGGCCCAATTTTGAAGTCCATTTCCTCCTGCAAGAGAAGGGGCAGATTTCAGAAGGGGTGCTGGAGAAGCTCAGAAGCTGAGGTGGTAATTAGGGCAGAGGAGGCAGGGAATGGAGTCCAGGCCTCATCAAGGGGTAGGCTCCTCTCACTTCCAGTCCACACACCCTAGAAACATGGCTGATACCGAAGTAGACAGATCCTCAACTGCGGACTGTGGTTCACTCCCACCTCTTTCAATCCCTGAAATTGCTGGAGCCTCAGGAGCCTGCAGAAGCAAGGGTAAATACTGTGGAGAAAGATGACATCATTTAGGCCTTAAATTATACATGTCTTTAGTGTTCCAGATATATGCCTGACCCACTATAAGAAATGACCAGGTACATGAGGAGAAAGGAGAGAAGAATGGACACAAAAAAGGAGGTAATAGAAAAAAATACCCAGGGGTTCCAGATACTGGACTTTCAAACAAGTATAGATTGTGGAGGATACCAGACAGCAGTATCCATCTCGGCTGCAGATGTTCATCAAAACATGCTAAAAACATACACAGAGACTACGAGGTCCTGTGGGGGAATAGGAACCTAAGGGCCACTCCTCACGTGGGGAGCACGCCTCGTTCCCCCTCCGGAGAGGCTTTTTATTGGTTTCATTTGAATGAGAATTCAGGTAAAAGCTCATTACTCATTGCTAGGAAGTAAGGATCAAACAATAGATAACAAGGAAGTCTGAGGGCCTATTTTGAGTCAGGGTCAAAGAGCTGTAAAACTTTAAAGAACAAACTTCTTCCTTGGACCCTTATCATTCAATTGAGAGCACTCTAAACAAAGCAGGTTTCACAGGGTTTTACATATTCTTTCTTAGGCCTGATCACCCAGGGAACCCGCCCTTTCCAGCACAAGGCTGCACCACCCTCTGCCATTGTTTCAGGCTTAGGTGGAGCAAGGGAACTAAGGCAACCAAGAGATAAGGAGATTTTCTCCCAGAGGATGAGGACTCAGGCTATATCAAAGCCAAGGAGCGAGGGTCTATCACCCCCTTTTGCTGTAGCCAAGGGGGTGATAGGCCCCCAAAGTCCTTTCTTGCGGGCCTCCCACATGATCATGCCTGTCTTAGATTGTTCCCCCCCTTGGGGAATCTTACCTGTCATTGGCTAACCAACCAAGCATTGGGGTTCAGTTATGAATGAAGCAGCAGAAGCAGTGCTCCTGCCAGGGAGGGTAAGCTTTTGTCTCCTTTCTGGCTTATGGCCCAAGGCCACTCCCTCAGCCTTAGCCTTGGCAGGGGTTACAGCTTCTGATACCAGGCAGGGGGGTTCCCAACAATAGATTTTAAAACAACTGTGCTTGCTCTACTGGAGAAGATAAAATACAGCATTTAGAATTTCAGCAGAGAACTAGGATTGTTGAATAAGAACCAAATGGAAATTCTAGAATCAAAAAGCACAATGTCCTCATCCTCTTGAAATCTTGAGACCATCAGGAATTCTCGCTGAGCTTCTTTGGGGACAAGAGACCAAACAGAGAGGTCCCAGAATGGGCGGCTTTAAACACAAGGCATGTGACGCAGGCCATCCTAGATCATCCAGCCACTCACTGTGGTGACAACAGGTGGGACCAGGAGTGCCAACCCAAGCCCAGCCCAAACCACCCACCCGCAAAATCGTAAACAAATAAAGTCATCAGTGATTTAAGCCACTCGATATTTTGGTGGTTCGTTTTCAATAACCTAGAGAGAATTTGCGTCTTTATAAAGTTAAGTCTTCAAAACCATGAATATAAATACACCTTTGCCTTTATACAGAGATTCTTTCAATTTTCTCTAAAATGTTTTACTGATTTCCTCATTAGACTTCTTTCTCCTCCGTCATTTTATTGTTGGAAAAAATTGTAACCTTCAGAGAATTTGAAAGAACTCTGTAATGATGACCTATATACCTACCACCTAGATTCTACAATCAACATGTTATTTGATTTGCTTCATCACATATCCATCCATGAGCCCATCGATCCATCTTATGTTTTATGCATATCGAAATTAAAGACATTGACCTTTCAGTCAAAATGCCTTCAGTCAAAATCTCCACATTTAAAACAGTTTAAGTTGACAAATGGATTCAAAACTTTAAGAATATAAGCCCTGGCTGGCATAGCTCAGTGGACTGAGTGCGGGCTGCGAACCAAAGTGTCGCAGGTTCGATTCCCAGTCAGGGTATGTGCCTGGGCTGCAGGCCATGGCCCCCAGCAACTGCACATTGATGTTTCTCTCTCTCCCTATCTCTCTCTCTCTCTCTCTCTCTCCCTCCATTCCCTCTCTAAAAATAAATAAATAAAATCTTAAAAAAAAGAATGTTAAAAAGGCCAAGAATAACCAGGATCCTTTTGAAGAATGGTAAGAGAGCATAGAACTGCTTGACTATGTATTGAGACCTATTAAAGAGCTGCAGTAGTTAAGCCTGAGTGGTGTGGGCCCAAGAATAGGCACACAGACCAGGGCGATGGCATGAAGAGCACAGAGAGCAATCCTTACATATCTGGGTGTTTGATTTGGGCATTGGCAGTACTTCACAGAGTATACACAGACTTAACTTTTCAATAAGTGATCCTGGTGGAATTCGATATCTATATTGAAAATATATATATATATAAATGACTTCCACCTCCCACTGTGCATAGAAATTAATAGCATGTGATTGTAATTCTAAGAATGAAAGAGA